GTTCAGATTTAATGAAACCTTCATTTCCTACTAAGAAAAGGGTTCAGTTACCTAAGCATCTATCTTTAGATAGCCCCTCGCAGCCTGAAAAGCTGGAAGGTAGAACTGATGAAGTTTCCATAAATGAACCTCAGAAACCTCATCTCATACAGAAAGACATGCCCGTTGTAAATGAAAAGGGGTACCCTGTTTTTACTCCATTCTTCTGGCTGAGAGAGGAAGAGCATGTAGAGAAATCAAGTCAACATTCAGATGACGACAAGCTCATTTATACACCGCCAGATGTTCCTTGTTTCAGTGATATGAAGGACTCGGATGATGAAGTCCCTAGAAAAGTAAGTCCAAAAGTAAGTTTCAAATTTCATTTTCTAGATCCGTTATTAAGTTTACTGGAATGAGATTATTAGTGAAACGCAATGACAGCCAGGTCTACCTTCATTTGTGATTTAAATAGAGCAGGATAGCCTGATGGATCAATATGTTTCAGTTATTTTATCGTTGCGTTTTTTCTTTTTGGATCTCCTCATTGTATTATTTTTGCCTGTAGGAATTTGTGCCTGCAATGCTCATAATAGTTAATTTTTTTCCTTTCCTTTTTTGGGTGCATGGGTATTAATTCATTCCATGATAACGAATGCTGTCACTGCATTCCAATCATTTTAAATTCCCCGTTTGATAGAGAAAGTTTTGGGAGGCTTAAAATTATTGTAACATGCTTTCAATCCATACAGGGGAAAACTTGTATTTTATCAAACGGTACAGATTTCATTGACAGTGAGATGTTTGAATGGACGCAAAGACCTTGCTCTCCTGAACTTTATTCAAGCCCCATAGAAATGCAGGTAATTCATTAAAGAAAATGTAATCAACATCACATGATTCCCTTTCCATCTTATTTTTTCATTCCAAGATTATTTTTCCTTTTCGTTCTTGCTGTCTGCTTATTATGCCAATTCAGGTTGAAGATACTGAAGAGCATGGTGTAGTTGAGGCTGAAGCTGCCTCAGCAAATGAAACTAGCTGTTTAAAGCCTAAACCTAAGAAGAGAGGGAAAAAAGGTAATGAAAAGGGGTCTGGCAAAGCAAACCTTAGCTTTGCAGCTTCATCTTCTCCTTTAAGCAAAATCTTACACAATGAACGTGGAATGCGGAAGCTTGGCAGAAGAGTTAGTAACATGACTGGAAGTAGTAAGAGTAAGAAATCCTTGAGAAGTATGTGCGAAGTAACTGAAGATCCCAATGAGTTACAGAACGTAACTGAGCAAAATATGCAAGAGAAAACTGGCAAGAAGAAAGAAGCTTCGAATATGAAGGTGAAAAACTGTATAAACAACCGCAGTGATTGCTCCAAGGCTAATATACATGAGAGAACCCAAGAAAGCGTTGTGACTTTATCTGATGGGATGGAGCCTTTGACCATGGGTAATAAAACAGCATTGGCTGACTTTTCAGCTTCATTAAATAAGCAAGAGTGCAGTGCAGGAAGTCATCACCTGAAGAAATGTTGCAAAAGCTATAAAAGCAGTGAGAACACAACTGCTTATCCACAGACAGCCAGTGATAGATCAAAATCTAGAAAGTTGAAAACAGGTAAGAGTGACATAAGTGATAGCCTATGCTACAGCTTTTGATTTTCAATTCAAGCAATCAATCTTCCATCTTAGGCAATGACAAAAAATCTTCTTATTTAGGCATGGCAAAACGAAGATTTGAAGAAAATTGTAACAAAAATATAAGACATCTGAAGAAGGTGAAATTTTCTGAAGACGTGTCTGAGGAAAATTATAAAGACAGTCCTAAAAATCTTCAGAAAAAGTCTATGATGGAAAGTCAAACATTTGGAAATTTTGGAGCAAACCATGGTTGTGCTCTTTCTGACAATCCATCAAAAGCAGAGAAGGCTGTTTCTGCTTTGAGTGGTGTGCTTTCAACAAAATGTGGGACATTAACTAACAAAATCCAGTGCGCTTTCTGTCATTCTGCTGAAGAATCAGAGGTAACATTACCTTTCCTATTAAATATACCCCATTTGTTCTTCTACCACATCCCGTTTCTTATTAAAGATCAATTGTTAATTTTAACAAGTGGTTATGCTTCTTTTAATCTGGAAACCAAAACTATAGGCTTCGGGGGTTATGGTTCACTACCTTAAAGGCAAGCTCGTAGCAGAAAGTCAGAATGGAAGTTCAGATATCATACATGTGCACAAGAATTGTGCTGAATGGTATGGAAGTTCTCCAGAAGATTTTAACACGTGCTCTGTTGTTCAAGTCATCTGATTACATTGTTTTGTTGTATGAAGTTAATGAATATCTATTTACCATCTCTAACTTTTAACTGCCTTCTGCTGGCTAAAGCAAGAGTTGAAAACAAAGAAAAATTCATGGGATCTTGAATTCTTGATGCCTTGTGTAATTCAGCTATGGCTGGATTTTTTTTTTTATGCTCCTTCCAAAATTTTGTCTCATGCTCCCGGTTATTGATATGTTTTGTAAGTGCCTATCACATTTACAGGGCCCCCAATGCGTTTTTTGAAGATGATTATGTGATCAACCTTGAAGCTGAATTGGGAAGAAGTAGACGGATTAAATGCTGTTGTTGTGGAATTAAAGGGGCAGCTCTTGGGTGTTATGAGAAGAGTTGCCGCAAGAGCTTTCATGTTCCTTGTGCTAAGTTGACTCCAGAATGTCGATGGGATTATGTACGTGTAACTAAGTTCAATTTTAGTAGTCCTTAAATTTTTTGTATAGATTGCTTATATTACACCTGTTACAGCAAAATTTTGTCATGCTTTGCCCTCTACATGCATCCTGTCAACTGCCAAATGAAATGTTGGGATCTCAGTCCAAGCAGAAAAGAAAATCTGCAGCTGGAAGGTTTGTTAGTTTTCCAACAAAATGTTCCAGGACTTTAAGTTCAGCTGGACTCATCACCTCCCCACCTTTAAGTTTGTTTTATGCCTCATCTCTGACAACTCTCCTTACTACAGGCAGTTTCACATTCACCAACCACAGGTCACTAAAAATTGTGAAAGTACCAAAACTTCGCAGTGGAAGTCTCATGGAAAAACTAAAAACTTGGTTCTCTGTTGTTCAACTCTCACTGATGTGGAGAAGGTGAACAAAAAACCAAATTTATAGCTTTAAAGGGTACCATAAGAACTCACGTATTTTGGTTGTCTTATAAGTTTGATGGTTTCAATTGCAGGAAACTGTCTGTGAATTTGCAAAGTTGTCTAGAGTTACAATATTGAAGAGCTGGGACTTAAGTGTTACACATGTCATTGCATCTACAGATGAGAATGGGACATGCAGGCGAACCCTCAAATTTTTAATGGGCGTCTTGGAAGGGAAATGGATTCTGAGTGTTGAATGTGAGTATTAATTTATCTACAAACAAGAATACAATCAACTCAAAAGTATTACTAATAGGACTTCCTTAAGAGACTTGCTTTGCTTTAATATTGCGCCAATGTATTCATTCCTCTTCTCTTTTTGCAGGGATTAAAGCTTGCATGAAATCCGGAGAGTTTGTTGATGAGCAGCATTATGAGATTGAGGTTGATATTCATGGAATCAGAGATGGACCAAGACTTGGAAGATTAAGACTTATAAACAAGGCAATTTCTTCTCCAGAATTGATTGGCATATATTTTTTCCTTTTTCTGAAGTTTGTCTACTATCACTTCGACTTCACAATTGATTTTCTTTTGTTTTTCTGTTTAACTTATAAAAGAAGCTGCTTTTTTATTTCGCCTACAAAATTTGTCGTTAAAATTAAAGTTTGACCATGACTTTCAAAATATTTAATGTACTTTTAATCTTCTAATGAAATCCAAACGAGCACTAAGCTGGTTTATCCTTCTTTCCTAGGTGATAACTTATTCTTATAAAGAACTTGTACTATAATGAATTGTCATGTTGTAATCTTGTTGTTCAATGCTATGAATACATGTTGGTATTCATCCCTAAACACATGAAAAAATCATTCTATTGATCATTCATTTATTGAAGAAAATCAGTTTCTTTCATAATCAAATTTTCTCTTTTCACTTGTTCATTTTGAAAAATCACTTTGCTTTTGGTGTTCTTCATTGAGGCTTGTTAAATCCTACAAATTGTTTGCCATTTTCAATCCTTAAAAGCTTAACGAGACGAGGCAAATACCATTTGAGGACAACGTTATATTTTTGTGTTCATGCCTTCTTCAATATATACATATTCATCTTCTACCTCAATATTGTTCTCCATTGCTGTATTTTTTTAACATGTCACGTGTTGAAGATTTAATAATAACTTTGATTTGCAGCAACCGAAGCTCTTCTACGGATTCAAATTCTTCTTTATGGGCGACTTTGAACCTTCATGTAAAGGATATCTTCACGGTCTTGTAATAGCGGCTGGGGGAAAAGTTTTAAGCAGAAAGCCTGTTTCAGGAGATGAGGCAAATCTTCCGCTTAGACCCTCTGTGTCAACAACCTTTATAATTTACAGCCTTGAGCTTCCTGATAACTGTGAGCCTGCAGATAAAAAATTGATTTTGAACGACAGGCGAAATAGTGCCAAGTTTTTAGCAAGTTGCACTGGAGCTGTGGTAGCAAGCAATTCCTGGATCATGAACTCCATTGCTGGCCATAAGTTGCAAAATCTAGCAGATTAACGAGGTTTCTTCATCACGGAGCCTTTTCTTGCTTATAAATGCACCAGCCTAGTTTCTGAATCTTGCAAGGGACGTGTAGTAATGCCAAAGTACGAGGTTTAAGACTTTGTATAGTCTCACTATATGTCAGAACGTATGGTGAGAAACAGTCGACTGCATGAAGTTATTTATGAAAATTACGACATTATTGCACTCTTTTGCGTCTTAAATGATTTTCATGTTTCTTTTCAACATATAGTTGGATCATATCGACAAATTCGTACCTGTATCCCCTATGTCATAAATTTCATGTTAAACACCTTAATTTTTTCTACCAAAGACTACATACCTAGGCTAAGGAACTGAACAAATGAGCCCCTTTTCAAATTTATTAAAAATGCCAAAATTTAAGAAAACAATTACATGCACCATTGAGAAATGGAACTATACTGGCTTAATCAAGATCTACTTTCTCTGACTACGAGTTACCTTTTCCTTTCATGCAAGAACCGAAGGCTTACAAGTATTGATCTCTCCTTTTGTCCGAAGACATTCTCCTTTCTTTTGCTCGTGTTTCTCAACCATCATTTGGAAGCACTCGAACATATGTTCCAATGCGACGATTTCCTCTTGAACATCAACTGGTGGATTACTACCAGAGGCCATACGTTCTTTAAAGCTACGGACTCTGTTTAGGCTCGTTTTTGCTTTTGCCCCCATTTCATCCATAGTCGAACGCATCCCCACGTATTCTTCTCTTGCTTCTTTTAGTTTCCTCTTCATGGATCTATACCCATCGAGTGACCTTAAAAGTTGCTCTGAGAGTACTTTGTTACGTTCTTGGAGGTCTAGGTTTCCTTGTGTTTCTCCTCTATTGCCTCCCCTTTCTTCATGATCCAAAGCACGTTCTTGTACTTTTTCCAACAATGACTCATTTTGTGCTTTCAAATCACTAACGAGCTCTTCGATTCCATTCAATTCATGTACCTTTCTAGAAAGTTCTGCGGCCATAATCTCTTTCTCTTTTCCCAAACTTGAACACATTATCTCGAGGCTCTTTCGTGCTGCCAAGCTCGCGTTTAGCTCTTTTCGTAGCCTTTCTTTCTCGTCTGCTATCGGTTCCCCTTGCTTTTTGTCCCTCGGAACGTGGTTAGGCTTAAGATCCGTGTTGCATCGCCACATCTCAACTTCTGAAGTTTTATTACCAAATGATTGACATTTCTGAATTCTTGTCCTAACATTATCAAGAATTGTCATCATTGTAGCCACCCTTAACATTCTTCTCCCATCCTTTTTCTCTTTATTACAAGCATCCTTGTGATCTTGGATTAGTTTCAGCAATAATTTTACATTTGCTGCAACTCCTGAACATTATATAAATAATATTTGACAAAAGACCTGAGTAACCATTCAATTAGTTTAAACTTTTACAGGAGACTGTTCGACTTGTTCTATATTTAACATTCGTCACCAGCCATAACTTTTAAATGCGACACATTAGTATGAAGAAAATTGAAAATGGGATAATAAATAGATTAATTACATGTTTGTAACATGATTTACCTTCTAATGCAGAATCATCGTAATATTGTTCAGATGTTGATGGAGCAGCTAATTCAGGAGACGAATTTACGCGAAACCTACTCATAATTTGCAGAAGTATATGAATCTTTTTTCATCAAATGAAGAACACTTTCAAGAAAATCAAAGAATTAATAGGAAGGGGTACTTTCTTCGTATCAAAAATCTTAATATGATTGAGAAATCCAAAGAAGAGAGATTGGTATAAATCCTCTTTTTCTCTCTTCTCCTCCTCTCTCTCTTAAGTTTTTTTGTTGTGAGGATTCAATATTTTGGTGATGTTTGTCTCATGATGATTAGTATTGGTCCATGGTCATGCGTGATTCTTGGTAATTGTTTTGACTTTTTCATTGGTTTGTTTTGGTTTGATTTTCTTAGTCATGACTACAGTTGGCTTCTAGTGCCCAACTGCCCTTACCCACTGATAATGAATAATCTTCAATTTGGGCTATAATTTTCTTGGGGAGAAGGAACAAATCAATTCAAGGATTGGACGTGTCCAACATAGATGATGTCTTTGGATATTATCATTTAGGATCTTAGGTCGTGATTTGGATTGTTTCTCTCTCAACAAAGAAGTTTATTCTCTATTCTGTCTGGTCGATTTGTTGGAGGATAGAAATATATGCTTTCTAGTAAATATGAATAGAATTAGAACCTGAAATGGAGGTCTTCCTTCCTTAGGCGAGCTAGTCCATACGAATAAAACTAGGTACAAAGTCAAGTGGGAATATTGAACTCAGTTACGTAAAATAACCGAGTTTTATTAAACACGATAATCGGGCCAGATTGTGAGACCTAGGTCAAGTCATAAATGCACAAGGGGGCATCTCATATTATGCTATGTTACATATTTATGACCCTAATATGATTAGTGAATGTGACAATGTTCCATGGATGAAGAGAAAAATAGTTTGTTACTGCTTCAAGCGATCAGGCCCATGGGCTTATTCTGGGCTTTTCTCAATCTCCGATTTGTGGGCCTGATTTCTTTAATGAGCTCTCGTCCGTTGCCTGTAGACTGAAGTAATGATTGGACAAATGAATTATTTTTGGGAAAATTTCATAACTAAGAAATTAATTATGGCACATTTCAAAAATAAAAAAACAAGTTTCAAATTTCTAAAATCAGATTTTTATTAAAAATTATTTATAATTTAATTAGTTAATTAATTATTTTATTAATTAAATATATTTAGGTCACGGATTTATACAATTTGATCACAAATTAACAATATAATTAGTTACTTATTATTTTTTGGTCACAAATCAAAATTTTTATGTCACAAATTTTTTTCACGATCACAATTCAAAAATTTTGTAAGTCACAGTTTGTTTATTGGTCACAAATCAAAAAATAATTAGTCACGGACGAATTTTTAGTCACGACTTATCATATTATTGGTCACAACTTATTTTTCGGTCACAAACACAAATTTTATAAGCCACGTATTATTCTTTAATCACAAATCAAAAATTTTATAGGTCACAGATTAATTTTTCTATCACAACTCAATAAATTATGAGTCACAAACACAAATTTTATAGGTCACATATTATTTTTCGAACACGATATAATTTTCTTGGGGAGAAGGAACAAATCAATTCAAGGATTGGACGTGTCCAACATAGATGATGTCTTTGGATATTATCATTTAGGATCTTAGGTCGTGATTTGGATTGTTTCTCTCTCAACAAAGAAGTTTATTCTCTATTCTGTCTGGTCGATCAAAAATTTTATAGGTCACAAATTAATTTTCCGGTCACAACTCAATAAATTATAAGTTACAAACACAAATTTTATAGGTCACATATTATTTTTCGATCACGAATCAAAACGATTTGTTGGAGGATAGAAATATATGCTTTCTAGTAAATATGAATAGAATTAGAACCTGAAATGGAGGTCTTCCTTCCTTAGGCGAGCTAGTCCATACGAATAAAACTAGGTACAAAGTCAAGTGGGAATATTGAACTCAGTTCCGTAAAATAACCGAGTTTTATTAAACACGATAATCGGGCCAGATTGTGAGACCTAGGTCAAGTCATAAATGCACAAGGGGGCATCTCATATTATGCTATGTTACATATTTATGACCCTAATATGATGAGTGAATGTGACAAGGTTCCATGGATGAAGAGAAAAATAGTTTGTTACTGCTTCAAGCGATCAGGCCCATGGGCTTATTCTGGGCTTTTCTCAATCTCCGATTTGTGGGCCTGATTTCTTTAATGAGCTCTCGTCCGTTGCCTGTAGACTGAAGTAATGATTGGACAAATGAATTATTTTTGGGAAAATTTCATAACTAAGAAATTAATTATGGCACATTTCAAAAATAAAAAAACAAGTTTCAAATTTCTAAAATCAGATTTTTATTAAAAATTATTTATAATTTAATTAGTTAATTAATTATTTTATTAATTAAATATATTTAGGTAACGGATTTATACAATTTGATCACAAATTAACAATATAATTAGTTACTTATTATTTTTTGGTCACAAATCAAAATTTTTATGTCACAAATTTTTTTCACGATCACAATTCAAAAATTTTGTAAGTCACAGTTTGTTTATTGGTCACAAATCAAAAAATAATTAGTCACGGACGAATTTTTAGTCACGACTTATCATATTATTGGTCACAACTTATTTTTCGGTCACAAACACAAATTTTATAAGCCACGTATTATTCTTTAATCACAAATCAAAAATTTTATAGGTCACAGATTAATTTTTCTATCACAACTCAATAAATTATGAGTCACAAACACAAATTTTATAGGTCACATATTATTTTTCGAACACGAATCAAAAATTTTATAGGTCACAAATTAATTTTCCGGTCACAACTCAATAAATTATAAGTTACAAACACAAATTTTATAGGTCACATATTATTTTTCGAACACGAATCAAAAATTTTATAGGTCACAAATTAATTTTCCGGTCACAACTCAATAAATTATAAGTTACAAACACAAATTTTATAGGTCACATATTATTTTTCGAACACGAATCAAAAATTTTATAGGTCACAAATTAATTTTCCGGTCACAACTCAATAAATTATAAGTTACAAACACAAATTTTATAGGTCACATATTATTTTTCGATCACGAATAAATTTTTTTATAGGTTACAGATTAATTTTTCGATCACAACTCAATAAATTATAAGTCACAAATACAAATTTTATAGGTCACAGTTTAATCAATTGAGAGTCACGGTCACATATTCAATGTCGAGTCACAATTGGGAGTCACAGTCATAATAACAATTATCAGCACAATCACATATTTTTATCGGTCACATATTACTTATTGATCACAAATTAATCAATTTGTTAGTCACAATAGTTCAAATATTGGTCACAAACCACATACCACCTCACCCTACCCTAACCCCACCCCACCACTACCATCGCCGCCACAAACCACAACGCCCTACGAACCCCAATCCACTACAATCACCACCTCTACCACCCATACACCACACCTTAAATCACCGCTACACCATCACCCCCTATGACGCCACCACCGCCTGTAGAATCACCACCTTCGTTCAAGACCACCAACGCCCTACCAACCCCAATCCACTACAAACTCACAGATCTGTGATTTGTCCACCTTCGTTCAAGACCACAGTGGCTGTACGCCGCATCTGCTTCACCCGACGGCATTTATTGCCACACTTCACGCGGCGCCACTCGCCCAACCAACCACCACACAACTTTGCCACCAGATCTACCACAACCTCACTAACCAACTGTAGAGCAATCATCATCACAGAACTGTCGAAGTCGCTCTCGACGTTCCCATCTTCGAGCTGCGACGGCGCAACACAGTAGCGGCGATCTGAGGGTCGACACAGCAGCGGTCGACGCTACAACCGAGCAGCTCCTCCATTGGTCGATGACGCTGCAACGGATCAGCTCTCTATCGCCAGTTCTCCAACGCCGATCGCCGGCCAGTTGAGAGAGAGAGAGAGAGAGAGAGAATCAGGGGTAGGAGGAAAGGATTTTGAAAATAATTAGGGTTCGAAATTGTTGTTTATTAGATTAATTTTTAAATATATTAATTAATTAAAAAAATTTCTGATTTGTGAAATATTAAACATGGCATCTTATTTATGAAATGTGCATTTTTAATCTATTAAAATCTGTAATTTCCACATTATTTTTATGTTGCTTATAAACAAATTACTTTTTATAAAATGAGTTCAAAACTTTATAGGAAGTAATGTCTCTAATTATAAAAAATCGATCAAAATACTTAGGGATGTTGCTGCATACAAGTTACAACCGACAACATTTAGCATGATTTTTTATAAAATATTAAATGTACATGTTTGGGGAAAAAAAATTGTATTTTAGAATGTTTAATCCATCTTATTGAGAAAACTCTATCAAAAATTTGTTAAACCCATTCTAGTAAAAACATGTAAAAGTTAGTTTTGGTGATGCGATCAACGCTTAACTGACATTCATCGTTGGTGTCAAAATGTTTCGAATCCACTAAAGTGATTATGGATCATGGTGCTATCATGAGGGTGAAACTAATGATGAGCCGAACGCATTTTATTGGTGGAAAATATTTTCAAGGGACAGAAGCATTCTGGAAAATTAATATTAGAAATGATCATAACATGTTTAGAGTTCTAATTAATAGTGAGTTCTCGAACCAAATCAAGGAGAATTTGCAAAAGAGAAAAAAAATGAAAAAAAAAAAAGAGGGAACATTTCAGTTTTTTGAGGAATTTCTTCGTGATGAAATTAGGTCAACTCAAGTGAATAACGACACAAATCTTAATAAGTCAAACCATGTCACACGATGACCAGATGTCAATATATAAATATGCTTATGTACATTTGGTATAAATTCTTCTAAATGCCTTTTTCTTGAATTCATTTCTTATCATATATTTTTTTCAACAACATAATTTTACATGTAAATTCATAACTTTTTTTTTTTAATAACACATTCTTTAAAAATCAATTTGTTCACCGGATCTATTCTCGAAAAATATAAATCGATCAAGCACCCTTTTTGGTTTTGTTAAATATCAAAGTTTTAGTAAATTTCAGCCCTTGTTTGTCTCCATTTAAAACAAAACTATTTAATTCTTATACTCATTTTCAATAATATATTCACATAATAAAATATTTTGAATATAAACCCAAAATTTTTTATACTTTATAACCATACATTCTCTAAAAAATTACTATTCAAAATATTATTATTTTTTTTCAAAATAATGAACATCAAACCAGGATTT